ATGGATAGATCTATAGGATATAATGCTAAGTGAAATATATCAGAGAAGATAAATACCACATGATTCACTCATATGAAAATTTAGGAAACAAAACAAACAAAAAAAACAAAACGAATAAACAAACTCTTAACTATAGAGAACAAACTGATGGTTATGAGAGGGGAGGTGGATGGGGGGATGGGTGAAGTAAGTGAAGGGGATTAACAGTACACTTATCGGGGCGCCTGGGTGGCTCAGTCAGTTAAGCGTCTGCCTTCTGCTCAGGTCATGATCTCAGGGTCCTGGGATTGATTGAGCCCTACATCAGGCTCCCTGCTTAGCAGGGAGTCTGCTTCTTCCTCTCCCTCTACCCCTCCCTCCCCACTCATGTTTTCACTCAGTCTGCTCTCTCTCTCATTCAAATAAATAAAAATAAAAAATCTTAAAAAAAAAAAAGTACACTTATCGTGATGAGCACTGAGTAACGTGTAGAATTGTTGAATCACTATATTGTACACCTGAAACTAATATAACACTGTATGTAAACTATACTGGAATTAAAATTTGAGAGAGAGAGAGAAATTAAGAAAACAACCCTATTATAATAGTAATAAAAAGAATAAAATACTTAGGAATAAATTTAACAAAGAAGGGGTGCCTTGGTGACTTAGTCAGCATCTGGCTTCAGCTCAGGTCAAGATCCCAGGATTCTGGGATCGAGCCCCTCATTAGGCTCTCTCTCTCTCTCTGTCAAATAAATAAATAAAATCTTTAAAAAAAAATTTAACCAAGGAGGTGAAAATCCGTACATTGAAAACTTTAAGACTTTGATGAAGAAACTGAAGTGAATAAAGTGAAAAGATACTTCATGTTCATGGGTCAAAAGATTTAATATTGTTGAAATCCATAAAGCCATTTTAGATTCATTGCAATCCCTATCAAAATTCCAGTGGCATTCTTCACAGAAATAGAAAAAACAATCCTAAAATTTGTGTGGAACCACATAAGGTCCCAAAGAGCCAAAGTGATCCTGAGAAAGAACAATACTGGAGGCATCACACTTCCCGGTTTCAAACTATACTACAAAGCTATAGTATTTACACAGTATGGTACTGGTATAAAAATAGGCACATAGACCAACATAACAGAATCAAGAGCCTAGAAATAAACCCTTGCATATAAGGTCAACCAATATTTGACAAGAGAGCCAAGAATACTCAATGAGGAAACAATAGTCTCTGGGAAAATTAGATAATCACATATAGAAGAATGAACTGAACACCTATCTTACACCACTCAGAAAATTAGCTCAAAATGCAGTAAAGACTTAAACGTAAGGGGTGCCTGGGTGGCTCAACTGGTTAAGCCTCCAACTCTTGATCTCAGCTCAGGTCTTGATCTCAGGGTTGTGAGTTCAAGCCCCACATTAGGCTCCACACTGGGCATGGAGCCTACTTAAAAAAAAAAAAAGGACTAAAACATAAGACCTGAAACCATGTAACTGCTAAAAGATAACATAGAGAAAAAGCTCTTTGACATTGGTCTTGACAATGACATTTTGGATATAACACCAAAATCACAAGTAATGAAGGCAAAAATAAGTGGGACTACATCAAACTGAAAACCTTCTGTCGGGCAAAAGAAACAATCAACAAAATGAAAAGGTAACTTACTGAATGGGAGAAAGTATCTGTAAACTATCTATCTGATAAGGAGTTAATATCCAAAATATATAAGGAACCCAAAAAACTCAATAGCAGAAAAAATCCAATTAAAAAACGGACAGAGGACCTGAATAGACATTTTTCCAAACAAGACACAAATAGCCAACAGGCACATGAAAAGGTGCTCAACATCACTAATCAGGGAAATACAAATCAAAACCACAATGAGAAGGGCGCCTGGATGGCTCAGTCGTTAAGCGTCTGCCTTCCGCTCAGGTCATGATCCCAGGGTCCTGGGATTGAGCCCGCATCAGGCTCCCTGCTCCACGGGAAGCCTGCTTCTCCCTCTCCTATTCCCCCTGCTTGTGTTCCCTCTCTCACTGTGTCTCTCTCTGTCAAATAAATAAATAAAATCTTTAAAAAAACAAAACAACAAAACCACAATGAGATATCACCTCACATCCATTAGAATGGGCTATTATCAGAAAGTCAAGAGATAACAAATCCTGGCAAGGACAAGGATAATAGGGAACCCTGGTGCACTGTTGGTGGGAATGTAAATTGCTACAGCTACTACGGAAAACAATACAGAAGTTCCTCAAAAATTAAAATAGAACTACCATATCATCCGAGCAATCCCACTTGTGGGTATATATCCAAAGGAAATGAAATCACTATTTTGAGATATCTGCACTGCCATGTTCACTGCAGCATTATTCACAATAGCCAATATATGGAAATAACCTAAATGTTCAATAACAGATAAACAGATAAAGATGTACAGTGTGTAGGGGAATGTGTGTGTATGAGTGTGTGTGTGTGTGTGTGTGTGTGTAAAGTATATTATTCACCCATGATAAAGAAGGAAATCCTGGCATTTGTGACAAGATGGATGGACCTCGAAGGCATTATGCTAAGTGAAATAAGTCAAAGAAAGACAAACACTGTATTCTATCACTCACATGTGAAATCTTTTTGAAAAAGCTAAATCCATAGAAACAGAGAGTAGAGGGGCACCTGGGTGGCTCAGTCTTTAAGCGTCTGCCTTCGGCTCAGGTCATGATCCCAGGGTCCTGGGATCGAGCCCCGCATTGGGCTCCCTGCTCTGCGGGAAGCCTGCTTCTCCCTCTCCCACTCCCCCTGCTTGTGTTCCCTCTCTCGCTGTGTCTCTCTCTGTCAAATAAATAAATAAAATCTTTTAAAAAAAAAAGAAAAAAGAAAAAAAGAAACAGAGAGTAGAATGGTGATTGCCAGAGGCTGAGTGAGGGAAATGGGGAGATGTTGGTCAAAGGGTACAAACTTCCAGTGAGAAGATGAAGTAATCCTGGAGATCTACTGCACAGCATGGCAACTACAGTTAACAATACTGTATTATATACTTGAAAGTTGCTAAGAGAGTAAACATTAAACATTCTCACCCCCCCCATATACACATAATCCTGTGAGGTGAAGGATGTATTAACTAATCTTACTATGGTAATTATTTCACAATATATATGTATCAAATCATCACACTGTACACCTTAAATTTATACATTATATATCAATTATATCTCAATAAAGCTGGAAACATTTTTTAAAAAAAGAACAGAAAGATAAAGCTGTCTATATCAAATAGTAAAAGGGAAGAGAAATATCTTTTCTACAAAAGAAGTAGATATGTTTTATCTATTGCAAACTTACAAATATAAAAATATAAGGAAAAATGTAAACAATTCAGGAGATGCTATTGTAAGCAATAACTAAAATAAACGTATACATATAAAGGAAATTCTTGAAAAGATTAAAGATTATGATCAGGACAGCTTTAAAAAAGGCAGAGGGGTGCCTGGGTGGCTCAGTTGGTTGAGCATCGGACTCTTGATTTTGGCTTGGGTCATGATCTCAGGGTCGTGGGAT